TACCCGGGCGAAATCTGTGAAGTTTTGCAAAGTTGCCCTGCAGCTCGGGTCAAATTTTCGTTGAAATTTTCGCCCGTGAACAGCTTTTGACATTTCATGACATTGATAGCCTTTATTATCCTCATTTGTGTTGGCTGGCAAACTGTTGGATTATTAGAAAAGTTAATCCAGCACTTGACTGCGAGCTGCCCTCGGCTTGCCTTTCACTTTGCTCATGTATTATTAACTTTCCATATTTACAGTCTCAACGAGTTGGCTCTGCGTTTTCAAAATCAATTTCAGCTCATAGGCAAAGTGCATATGTGTTCTATGCAGTGTTTGTCTCGCAGTTCGTCTACAGAATTGGAAATTGAAATTTGCTCTCCTCTGAGCTCTCTGCTTATTAGGTATTTCTGAATGCGATTGGGCGTGGGCGTGACAAATCGGAAATTACTATGGCATGCTCAATAGATATTGAGTGCTTTTCGTAGCAATTCAAGCTATGAATAGATATTCGTTTAGTCCTACTTCTAAGACATTATAACCAAGGGCATTTGGCTGTAGCTTTCATTACAACTCCAATTTGAGTTGACCTCTTTAAAAATTGAATACAAATGATATGTCTAGAGCAGTCAAAGGCTTTTGGATCACGAACTGGTCTACTGTTTGCCTTGGCTTAATCCAAAAATATCGAACTTGTGTTTGGTGGATTGAGAACAAAATTAAGTGAGCTAACATTAAGCTAAGTTAAATAAGACTTGATTAGATTAGCTTAGGAAATCTTAAGTTAGATTGATTGCTTGAGTTATTCAAGTTTACTTAAGAAAGAAAAATTCAATTGGTTTAACTTCGTTAATTCCCCTAATATGCAAATTATTCCATTGTCGAGCACAGCCACATAGAAGTTAGTTGCTCTCTGCTTAGCCTTAAGAAATGCCACGTTATGACTTCACTTATCCTGTTCCAATTAAGGTATCCAAACCTGAAATGCCAATTAGTTATGCACTGGGGCTTGTTGGCCGAAAAGCTGTTGCTGTAAATCGTAAACCATTACACTTGCAGCTCTAGCGAAAATTGTTAAAATTTGTGCACTTTCATAGTCCATGTGTAGTTAAGGCTTGAATTGCATTGTAACAGCAACAATAACTGTCAGATGCATAAACGCACGCACACGTAGGCAAGTCCTTTTGCATTTGACAATGGCTGGCTGTTGCAGCCAGCTATTAAATTAACAATTTTGTGTACATTTATGGAAATAACGTTGGAAATGCGAAATAAATGCCAAACCAGAAAACCCCAGCCAGAGGTTTGCCGCCGAGCCTGGCCGAGCCCAAAACTCGGAAACTGGGTCAACCAAAAATTCCAGCCAGGGCGAATATCTGCATAGTTGTTGTTGGTGTTGTTGTTGTGTTTGTTGCAGTTGCTGTCTGTTTTTTGTTGCAATTGTTGCTTTTAGCTGACTTAGAGCCGCAAACAGCATTTTCCAAATGAGTTCGATGGACTGCAAAAGTGGGCGAGGGCCTATATTTTTCAGGTTTCAATGGTGCTTATTCAAATTGAATGGACGCACTGCTCACCGGACTCTGTTGTAAAGGCAGGGGCTGCTGCAAAGTGTGGGCGGAAGCGTTAGCTGCGCATAATCCAGATGTTAACAAATCACACTGATAGGTCGGCTTAATGCTAATGACGCTGCCCGAAGCGCAGCTCTGGCTGCCCTGGTTTGAATGCAGCGCAGCGTCAGACCCAACCCCAACTAATCACAAGCAAACGCCAACAGGAAAGCTGCGTTTACGCTTCCGCATCAGCGCGCTTCAAAGTCCTTTTCTCTCGAGCAGAGCCAGAGCAGCACAAGTTGTCCGACAAGGCAAGAAAAGAGGAACAACAAAAATAAAGAATAAAAGTGAAAACTAAACAAATAAAAGGCCACGAAGAAAAACTTTGTGTCCGACACATCGTGGGAGGGACTGGAGCAGAGTTTAGCTCTGGCCTCAGATGCTCTCATGCATGCAAAAATGATGTCAGCAGCAGCAAATGCAAAAAGTCACAGCGAGAATGCAAAAAAAGACATGGAGGAAAAATGGAATCTAAAAACTTTCACTTTCCGCACAGTAATGCATTCTGGCTATAAAAACGTACCAGCTATGCCTAAGGCCGTTGGCAGGGTATCTGCAGGTCGGGCAATCATAGCAGCTATCCACTCTTTCAGCGCTCCGCTCCTTCATTGTGCATACCCAATTGTCCATGGTGTAAGATGATGGACAACAATGTTGGCTTATTCCACTTGCAGTTTGCCCCCAAGCTCATCCGTTTCAATTGACAGCGGAGCATGGCTTTATCGACACTTTGACTTGCTGCCAAGCTGTATTTTGCTAACACAAACTATTTAGTGATGATGACTTAACAGCCAGTTGCCCACTTTCGAGGAGGCTTTGTGCTCTGAGCTGCACTCGACTGTTTTTTATACCCTGAAGTGATAAAAAATGCAAATATATTTTCTTTGTTTTCAAATATTTGCAATGGGCAATGGAAGGGACATACATATATATTCTTAATCTGGATCTATATGTTAGTCCATGTGGGCGAAATAGTCAAAGCTATCTTAAAGCACAGGTAAGCCAGAGACTTAAATTTCAACTTAATTCAAGTCAATGCCATTCACCCGATATCGATAATGATTGAGTTCCAGAGAGCTCGCTTGTAGCATTTTAAAAGTTGGAATTACTCAATTTAATAATATTCTCCATATTTTAATTAAGTAATACATAATAATTAAATAATCTTCACGAGCTTAACTTCACTTCCGATAAAGACATCTGTTTACAGCCTTTGATGCTCGTTTAAAGCTGATTCTTGCATATCTGTGTTTATATATTTACTATTTATGCAGCCATGAGGCTGTGCCATAAAATGTTGAGCTGATGTCAACTGCAGCAAGCTGTAAAAGCGTTCAGCAGCAAGCTGGGCAAAAATAAAGAACAAATAACAGTGCTCAGTTGGGAGTGTCCGACTGGAAAATACTCTGCGCCTTGTGAAGAAATTTATTATGGAATAACTTTTGTTGTAGTTGGACCGCCTTAATCAAATTTTCAGAGTACGCTAATGACATTCAGATGTGTGTATAAAAAACTCAAGTCTTCATTATTTAAAATAGGTTTATATATTTCAGGCACTTACTCAGCATTCAAGTTACGCTTAAAAAATGTCAAACAAAAATCGATATTGAAAAAATTGCTAAGCTGGTACTGCGTGAGGCTTACAGAAATATATATTTAAAATTTCAAGTCTTTAGCTTTTGTGGTTTACGAGATGGACAGCCGGGCAGGTGGACATGTGTAGATAGAGTCAGCTGGAGATGCTGATCAAATATATATATATATATATACTCAATGATGGCTATCGCACCTCTATTTGTCTAACCAATATACCCCAAAATCTCATGTTCAAGGGGCATAACTCCGACAAAGGCATAGTGAAGAGTGCCTCAGTAGCAGATATGCTAATATTCTCAACAAGCTTTACTACCTCTTCAGCTCCCTAGGTAACGGGCAGTAGCTAGGTTTTAAATGAGTTTAACAATCGAATTAATGCGGAGAAAAGCTTCCAATTATGAGTCTGTGTTTTACATACTTTATACCAGGTTTAATGTACCTGGGTTGAATCATTTACTCAAAACAATATAGACATATGGAAATGTATATAGAGTATTAAGTAATCTTTATAGCTATGCTATGAAGTCGAGAGGCAGACGGCCGCCTAGAAGACACACAGTCAGAGCGGAATACGTTTACTCTCCGAGTTCACATGCTGCTCGCTTCGCTCAGTTAAATACAAACCCAGACAGACATCCAGTTTGTGCACATTTTCGATAGGCAATAATGGAACAGAGAGACAAAAGTTCCACGTTCCACACACAAAAGGATATATACATATAAATATTATATACAAATATGCAAATGAATACAAAATACGGTGCATAAAAACGCTTTATTAAATACGGGCACACACAAGGGTGAGCCCGCGTGTGTGTGTGTGTGTGTGCTGGCTGGTCAAGCGAGAACAGCGTGAAATTACAGTTTGAGCAGCGCTGAGCAATGCACTTGGCATGCTTTTGGGCGCTGCACACACTGAGCATTGCGAGCAGCATGTGTCTGTATGTGGCAATTGTCTTGGTGGCTTGACCAGCGCGTTGTCGCCTCTTCTTCTTTATCTTTTTTTTTTTGTGGCACAATTTTTTATGGTTGGCTGTAAAACTGAGCGAGTTTTGTGTCCATTTTTTTAGGAAACGCCTTTTTCAAACAAATTGTGGAAGACTCCTTCCGCCCATTAACCACGGGGTACACATGTATATACGTGCCACGCCCACAAGCCGCACAAAGGGCTGCAAGTGAAGTTGACTGATGGTCAAGTGACCAGGCTGACAGCAAAAGTGCAGGGCATAAGCCAGAGGGCAGAGGGCAGAGGGCAGATGGCAGGCGGCAATGGACAATGAACAGTGGGCAGTGGGCTGTGGGCAGTGGGCGGGTGGGTGTTGGCATTCCATGCTCACATTTGCGTAACTGAAGAACGTAAAAGTCTACGAAAACTGTAGAGCAGTTTGTTGGTCAGCTTCCGATGAATAATGGCGAGCAGCCGAACGGCAAATTGCAAGGCAAAAAGATAAAAAAGAGCAAAAAAACGTATTTTCAGTCATGCCGAAGACTAAGTACTCTTGCTAGCAATGCATGGTGTCTTATCTGCTAAGACGGATTTAGTTTTAGTTAAAGCAAATTTCATTGCAAGCCGAAACAGTTCACGCTTTATAGATAAGTCTTAAGGGTTTGGCTTAGACCTTCAGTCTGGGTTGATAGTTAAGAGACTTCTAGATGCCGCACTTGGTAACGATAATCTTACCAGCACTTAATGTTGCAAGCGAATCACAGATGAAACTAACTTTGAAACTGTAAAAACACTTTATCAAAAGAGACAGGGAGACAGCGAGATAGAGAGCAGGCGAGGGACATAGGGAAGAAAACGCATTTGCATGTCTATAAAATGCACTTGGTTTATTTTAGGCTGTGATGTCTTTTTCAATTATCTCGTGCTGCTGCCAGAGTTGTTCGCTGTACACTGGAATGTTGATATTGTGGCTTGACTGTGCTTTTTCCCAGTCGTCCAGCTGCAGGCTCTGCACATAGATGGCGCCGATATACGCCTCCGACGCAGACTCTTCTGGCCGTCGGCCCAACACGCCAATGTCCTGCAGCTGCACGGGTCCATCGAATTTGGCAAGATAGTAGCGCACCCTCCAGTTCTCGCCGAGAGCACCATGCTCCAGGGGCAGTTGTTCGTGGACCAGACTGGTCGGCAGTGCCCCGTTCACTGACGAAATGTAGCATGCACCTTGCTTGATAACGGCCTCGCCATAGGCGCCAGAAAATACATAGACATCCTGCATGGGCTTTTGGGGCGGACAGAACCGCAGCACAACATCCAGCGCGTGCCTTTCATCGTGAGCGGTTATTTTGTAGGCATAGCCCAGCAGCAGTGCGCCATGGGGAAACTGAAATTCGGTGAGAAATAGCCGGAAGGCACGTGCATAGTTGATGATTCGTAGCGCACAGCCGCCGGCGTAGGCGGTGTCAAAGCTGCGCTCCGCATTCTCTCCCAGTGGCACCGACGGCTGCAGAGACTGGCGTGCCAAATTGAAGAACGGCACTCCGGTCCGTTGGCGTGCACCGCATTCGAAGCTGTCACGGCCGGAGCCCACACAGAAGTTCGTGTAGAAGGGCAGCCGATGATACGGGTGCGTGGCCAAGCTGGGCCACAGGCGGGCCCACCAGTGTTCGTTTCTCATCAGGAAGGCCGCATTCACGGATTCATCGCCGTTTCTGTCATGTATATTGTAGTTGAACTGTTGCAGTGTCTCGAAGCACCAGGCGGGCGCAAAGATGCCCGCCGAGAAGCCGCGTGCCGCAATTCTGGCCAAGGTCTGAGCGCTGCGAAAGCGTCCCAGCTGGCCGCGACCGAACACATCGAGTCCCATGAACAGGCGATGCGGTGCCGCCTTCTCTCGCTGTATGGATGCCTCGCTGTTCGCCAGACTGCGATCGTTCCACGAGTAGTTGATCAAAGTGCCATGGCTGGCCCGAAAGAATTGCACGTTGCGCTCGTTCAGCTCGTTTTGCCACAACAGCTCCCCGTTGTTGATGACGCTATCGTACCAAATGACTCGTCCGTACGGCACTTGCGTCTCGGTCACGCGGCGCAGCTCGTCCACGAACAGGCTGCGGGGTTGGCGAACAATAAGTGATGTACTCCCCATTAAGCTGCGGTTACTCACTAGAGATTGGGCATAGCTTCGGTGCGCACCTGACACTCCACGTTCACCAGCCAGCCCTCAAAGCCAAAGTGGAGACAGAGGCGCGTCATAGCAATGACTGTCCGCTGAACGCTCTCGACGCTGGCGAGTACTTCGTGGAGCAGCTTGCTGCCCGCGGTGCCCTCGGCTATGTAGGTGCCCAGGACGGGGACGCCGTGTCGGTGGGCGGCATTGAGCCAGCCGCTAGGCGGAATGGTCACATAGTTGTGACTGAAATAGCAAAAGTAGTCCACGGCAGACCAGTGCATGAACCGATAATCGTCGTACTTCCTCGAGCTGTGATAATGCCTGGAATGGAAAGTAATTTCCTTACCTGTCGATATAGGTCGAGCTCTGGCTAACACTTACCGATCTGCCAAATAGTTGCCCATCATGTCGTGGCAGACGAGCAGCTCGCGTCGATTGTTCCTGTTCACCGTGCGACGATAGTTGCTCAAGAAATCCGACTGTCTGTCCAGGTAGACGGGCTCTCCGCGGACTTGCGCGTCCAGCGGCCGGACAAAGAGCTTCCAGTCGATGTCATGACTGCGCACCTGAAATCCCAACAGCTGTCTATTGTTCAAGATCGGCTCTGCCTCCAGCTTAGCTGCAATTGCGTTTGTTAAAGTGAATTCCATGTGACCAGCGAAAGCGAATGCGCCCAATGCAGCTGCTGCCTGCTAAATGACTCCAGCGCCGCCTGTCGCGCCTGCATTTATCAGAGTTCGCCTGGCCCTGCACTTTTATCGCATATTTAGAAAACTGCGCGGCGTCCGCATTAGATGCGAACTTTCAAGGCTAACAAAACCGATAACTTCACTCAATGTCAAACCTCCCCAATCCCAACTGCCTGCCGTGGGAAAACTTTAACTATTTTCGATATGTGAATAAATATTTCATAAGCTATTGGATTTGGATCGTCAGAGAAACAGAGATGGAGAGGGAGAGAAAAGCAGGAGGAAGGGAGACGGGGAGGGCGTATGGAGTAAGTGAGAGGCAGAGAGTCAGAGAGAGAGAGAGGAAGAGAGTGAGAGACAGAGAGGTAGAGAGCGAGGGAGAGGGAGAGGGAGAGGGAGAGGGAGAGGGAGAGGGAGAGGGAGAGGGAGAGGGAGAGGGAGAGGGAGAGGGAGAGGGAGAGGGAGAGGGAGAGGGAGAGGGAGAGGGAGAGGGAGAGGGAGAGGGAGAGGGAGAGGGAGAGGGAGAGGGAGAGGGAGAGGGAGAGGGAGAGGGAGAGGGAGAGGGAGAGGGAGAGGGAGAGGGAGAGGGAGAGGGAGAGGGAGAGGGAGAGGGAGAGGGAGAGGGAGAGGGAGAGGGAGAGGGAGAGGGAGAGGGAAGGGAGAGGGAGAGGGAGAGGGAGAGGGAGAGGGAGAGGGAGAGGGAGATCGGAGGAGGGTTAAGAAGGAGGGAAGGAAAGAAGTTGAGAGGGAGTTAAGGAGAGAGACGAAAAACGAGGGAGCGTGAAAGAGGGTGGGGAGAGATATAGGGAGAAAGAGATTAAAAGAGGTAAGGAAAGAGAGAGGGAGAGATCTACATATACCTAACCATTTGCTTTATCTCTAAGTTATACAATAATCTGTCATACTACATCTATAGTTTAGCGATTCTTATGCCACCTTGAGATTTGTTTTTACAGTTAAATCGTGACCCTGGGCGTAAGGCACTTTAATACACATTTAAAGCAAGCTTAAAGGGAGCATTTTAAAAGTAAATTCGTTTTCCACGAAAATTTAATCTGGATTATGTGAATAATTCATGCGGTCATCGGAAAACCCGAGCGCCGCCAACATTTCAATTGCAGTTTCTAATGTGCAGCGACAGTGGCTGGGCTGATGCAATAGTTGCAGCAACAGCAGCAGCAGCAGCAGCAGCAGCAGTAGCAGTAGCATCAGCATCCGTAATGTCCTGCAACGTTGACTGTTGTGGTGAAAGTTTTTGCCTTCAAACCGTCAATTGGATAGAAGAGGAAAGGGTTAGGGGCCAGAGGTTTGTGGGCTGAGCCTAGGGGTAGGTGGCTGGAGCAGTTTTGTGCAATTTGTGCGCTTACGGAAGCCAACGAGGCGTTTGAGCGGAACTTTAATCTATCATTGCTGCAAGGATATGGATTTTACAGTGGCACGCCGCCACGAATACCAATGAGAGTTCAGCGAGGCCAAGCGAACCATATTCATATTCCTATGTATTGTATACGCTATTCACAACTTGAATGTACGCTGATTGGACTAGCCCCATAGGAATGCAAACCTTATCAATTGCAAGATTCAAATATATATATATATATAGCTGATATATATATAGCTCACATTGTGTTGAAGTTAGACTGGCAAGCTGTGTGCAGCGAGCTTATCAAACTGTGTCTACTATAAATAATCCTAAAAACATATATGGCCTTTATGGAATCAGTGTAGGAACCAACGACTGCATACGGCTCGTTCACAGTCACAAGCTGTTAGCCTAGAACAAAATCAATATTTTTGCACCAATAGGCGGATCATATGACTTCTAGATATTATTATGGATGCTGTGATCATTTAGCTTTTAAAGCTCCATTTAGCGTTTAAAGTTATAGATTAAAAAGCGCATTTAAGTTTCGAAAGATATTGTATTGCCTGCTAACTCACAAACTGAGAGAACCAACGACATAATACTTAGTCTTCATACAGTCAGACGTAGAAACAGATGAGGAGCTACATGGACGGTGCACAAAGCCAATTACTCTTCTCAGTTCATGAACGAGTATAAATATCCTGATGAAAGAAATTGCGTCACTTTACTAAAGTCAGTAGTCATACATAAGTTGACTAACCGTGTCCTGGTCTGCTCTCTCTCTCTCTCAATAAAATTTCCCCAATCATCATTCGAAAGACCCCACAAAGGGTATATATTCGATATTAGGACGACGAGCTGTTCATGCTCCTCGACTTATTCCTAGAGGCTTTAAATTGAGAACATATATGCTCTTGGATATCGTACGTAGTACAAGCTGAACATTTGTTTCTTAATATCGATAAGAATCGATACTTCAGTTCAGTTGGGTGTGTGTGTGGAGGGTGTGTGGGTGTCTCCTAGTCGAGCATTCCCAAGAATTGTTTGAGCTAACCTATTCACGTTTAACAAATATGAAGTTATTGAAATTAGATTTCCTTTCCATAGATTATATTTTCGTACTAGCACCGATATTTTGTGTGTTGGCAAACTCGTAATTGATAAAGCTGTTGAAGCCAACACTCAGCTAACAAGGTAAATTGTCTGTTATCTTGTCAGATATCACGGAAATGTCACGAATATTCATACTGAATAAACACTGTGAAATACAAGAATGAAGCTACTCACTACAAATCATAGAAACACAGATTGAGCGGACAGTTTGCACAACTATCAAATACTGCGACGCATTCACTGTATTCAAAAATTGTGCCAAATGGTACTTACGACAGCCGCAGGGAGACATATTTGTACCGGTAAATAAGCACAGCTGTTGGTCAGATGCCAAATCTGGGGCGGGCACTGCTTCCTCTTCAACGGTCGCTTGGCACAGCGTTTCGGCGAGTGGCAAGACTACGGCCAAGCTGGCATTATGCTGATCAATCACTTTTTGTTCATCCATTTGCGCGAAAGGCTGTTCCGTGAACAGGAAAACTCAGCGGCACAGCAAAAGAAAAAACAGCAGCAATAAAAATTTTGGTGACACACACGAACAGCTGTCCGAGAAGTGTTGGTAAACGCGCAGTAGTAAGCAATGGTGTAGGCTGAGCGCACAAACGTTTTCAATTTGAATTCGAAATTGAAATTTCGATGTATACATTTTATAATATAGTATTTGAATTGACATTGAATTCTCGTTGTTTTTCTGCTCTTTCCAGTTAAAGCAAATAAAAAAACAATTTGCTCACATTTCTCCAAGGCCGCAATGCAGCTGGAAATAAATTGTAATTAGAGAAGTGACCCAAAACTTTGCTGGCACAGCTGCCAAGTGGAAAATAAAAACAAAGCGTGATTTACACGCTCGCAATTTATTACGCTCTGCTATAAGTTTTTTCTCGGTCCTGTTTTCATTTTGGCAACCAGCAGGCGCACCAGCGAAGAACTACTAGCAAAATGCCAGCGGGACGCGTGGCTGGCAAAGCCGGCTACTCTAATCACTATTATAACGGTAGGTACGCGGCAGACATCCCAACCGGAATTGTGAATAAATTGCATTTGAAATGCATTCAATTGAAATGCGCACCGAGTATGCTCGATGAATTGTAATTAATCCGTTGCCTGCAGTTACACTTAATTCAATTACAAAATGCTTATCAATAATCCCTCTTTTTCTCTCTATCTTTCTGCTTCTGTCTCGCCTGTCCCCCACTTCCAGGGCGTTCGTATGTGGGCATTAACGAAGAAATAATGTGGGTCAGCATTGGCATGGGCGTGACCATCGCCCTACTCATTACAATTGCCCTCTGCTACATTGCGAGGGAGAAGTGCCAAAAGCGTCAGCGAGAGTATTACGTGACAGCATAGTTAATGTATGCAGTTAGCCACAAATGCATTCTCCAAATGGACGTGGATGTGGATGTGGATGTAGGCAAGGAGCGTAGCTTGTCAATTACAGCAGCCATGACAGCGACGCCTCAAGCAGAAACGCAGCACGAGCCCAAGCCCGATCCCGATCCCGATCCCAATATCGATCCCGAACTAGACCCGGCACCAGTGCCGCAGCCTGAGCAGGAGCCAGCTGTTACCATCATGAACTGGACTGTTGTCGACATTTGCGGGGCTCGCAGTTGGGGCTAAATCAAAGGAAAACACAACCCACCATTTAAAGCAAACACCCACAAGCACATACACATACAAATATATATGCATGGCACAGACGGCTGTCATAGGCAGCCCCTTACATGTTGTTTATTTGTTGTTTTTTTTTTTTGTAGTCAATGAAGAACTTGTTGTAAACCTAATAAGCAGCCATAAGCTGCGTTACTTATTATAGTCAAATTGTTATTAAATTTGCCAAGATATAATAATATATGTATTAAAGAAACATTTTTCTTAGTGTTTTATTTAGTATTTTGAATTGCGCGCACTTTACAACTTTTACTACACTGGCAACTCGTGTTGTGAGCACTAGTTGGCGCTGCCACTTAGCAACACTAGTTTTGTAGTATTATTAATCGACTGCTTGTGTGAACTGCTTGTTTGCTGGTCAATCAGCTGTTCCAGAGAGCGCGCACGTTTTTCTTTTGACAAACACTATTTAATAGGCAAATGTATCGAAATGGATGAAAATATAACGTTTAACATATGCACAAAGCCAGTGCCAAAAGCAAAACAGGTGAGTAACTACTAATATATCTGATATGAGTGTCACAGACTTACAATTTAATGTTTGCCAGGCAATGCCCACGCGAAAGCCGCCAGGCAAGCAAAAACGTGCTGGAGCCTCCGCTGGATTCGACTTTCAATTCAATGTGGAGAAGCCCAAAATCAAGGCGCTCGTTGTGCGGCGTCGTGCTCCAATTGCTAAACAACAGCCAGCTACAGCCAAGGCCACTGCCACTGTTGCTGTCGTAAGCGCTCCCAAGCCCAAGATAGATGCAATTCAAAAACCGCAGAAAGAGAAGAATGAACAACCTGACAGCGATATTATATTAAACGTATACACAGCGCCTGTTGATACCAGCAGTAAGCAACAACAGGTGAAGAAAGCTACTAAGGAGAAACGCCCTTCCAGCGCCAAACAAGTCGCAACCATTGATAAGCAACAGCTGAAGGCAGCACTTAAAGGCAAGCAGCGTAAAGAGAATCCCAACAAACAGCCGCGTGCCGGCGATCTGTTCAAGGCACAGCTGGACGAGGAGCACAGGCTTAAGCGTGCCGCTGAAGAGCAGCCAAAAGCGGAGATAGCCGCTGCAGAGAAGCCAGAGACATTACCCCAGACAAACAACAAGTTTCGCACCAAAAAAATTGGTCTCTTCGATCAGAGTGATGTGGAGGCGCTCAAGCAGCTGGGCCAGCGCGCTGTCAAGCCCGTCAAAGAGACCATTTTTGCTGGCACCAAAGTGGAAAGCTTGGGTCTGCATGCGCATGCAGTCAAGAATCTGTTGGATCTGCTAAGCATTAACCAGCTAACGACAGTGCAGCAAAAGACCATTCCCCATGTGCTGGCTGGTAAGGATGTGCTGGTGCGCTCACAAACTGGCTCGGGCAAGACGCTGGCCTATGCGCTGCCCTTGGTGGAACGGCTTCAATCGAAGCAGCCGCGCATTAAGCGCACCGATGGCGTCCTGGCCCTAGTTATTGTGCCTACGCGGGAGCTAGCGCAGCAGACATACGAGCTATTCCAAAAGCTGGTCAAGCCATACACTTGGATTGTGCCCGGTGTTCTGCTCGGAGGCGAGAGTCGCAAGAGTGAGAAAGCCCGCTTGCGTAAGGGCATAAATGTGCTGTTGGGCACACCGGGTCGTCTGGTGGATCATCTGCTGCACACGGCATCTTTCAAGTTATCCAAGCTGGAGTTCCTCGTGTTGGATGAGGCCGACCGTCTGCTCGAATTGGGCTACGAGCGTGATGTTAAGCAGCTCGTAGAAGCCATTGACAAACATCGGGCCGAAGAACCACAGGAACCACCAGTTGCCATTCAGCGTCTGCTGCTTAGCGCAACGTTGACCGCTCAGGTGCAGCAGCTGGCCGGACTAACGCTAAAGGATCCGCTCTACATAGACAACAGCGATGAAGCGGCTGACGCTGCGCTAAAGGGCACCAATGGCTATGAGAAGGAAACCATTGAGGCGCAACAGGACGACGGCCTCGGCGAGTACCTGGAGGATGTGACGGGCGTGCTTAGCATACCTGAGAACCTACAGCTTAGCTATGTGGTGGTGCCGCCCAAGCTGCGCCTGGTCACCATATCGGCGCTGTTGGCCAAGGAGCTCGCCGCCAGTCCCAAGCAATTCAAGGCCATCGTCTTTATGAGTACCACCGAAATGGTGAACTTCCATCATGATGTGCTCAACGAGGCGCTCACACGTCGCGTCCTTGACGAAGATGACGACGAACAGGTCAAGGAGGGCTCGGACGTTGACGATGATGGCGAAACGCCTTTGCTGCAAGGACTCCGCTTCTTCAAGTAAGTCAAGTCTGCACTTTCAATTGAATTTCCATATAATTACAGCCTTCATCCTTTCCAGACTTAATGGTTCCATGACGCAAACGGAACGTCAGGGCGTGTTCCGTGGCTTCCGCGATTGTGCCAGCTGCGTGCTGCTGGCCACCGATGTCGTCGGTCGTGGCATCGATGTGCCTGACATCAAGCTGGTGGTGCAGTACACACCGCCGCAAACCACAGCAGATTTTGTGCATCGCGTGGGGCGCACCGCGCGTGCAGGCCGTCGTGGACGTGCGGTGTTATTTCTGGCGCCCAGCGAGGCGCAATTCGTTCGCCACTTGGAGAACAAGCGCATACGCATCCAGCAGGGCGATATGTATAGCTATTTGCAGGCGCTGTTGCCGCGCGATGCAGAGGCGCGCAACGTCCAGGAGGCTGCATCCAATTTGCAGCACAAGTTTCAGTCACTGCTCGAGGAGGATCGTGAACTGCACGACAAGTCCTGCAAGGGTAAGCTCGACTCCATCATACAACTCTTTGCCAGCCAGTCAGTTGCCATGGCAGACACTCAACCCACCGAGTGGCTTTCCCCCGCCTCGCTGTCCACTTAAACGCAACTAGCAATTTAATCCTTTCACCAAAGGATATTAACTTTGTAATTATGATTTTTTTTTTCAACACAAATTTCGCCGCACTTCAGAGGGCTCGAAAAAATGAAGGGAAAACAAACACAGAGACTCACACATACACACAGAGATACGTTCACACAGATATCCGCTGGCGTTTTCCAATTATAAGTTGGACGTTCGCGCCACGCCCCTGCGACCAGCCGCCCACTTGTACGCTGGCAACGCGCGTAAAAAACGCTAAAAATTATTTCATATTTGAAGTTAATTTCGATTGCGTGTCGAACGCCCTGCCCCGCCCAACCTCCCCTGCTGTGTGTGTGTGCGTGCAATGACCAGTTCCTGTCGTCGCACCGTTATCCGTTGTCCTTTTTATCCTCGCATACCCTGGCACAGCCCGGGCATTGCGACTGTGCTGGGAGCACTTCCAGTCGCTGCCCAAGGCAAAGCGAAGGGTATCGTCGCATTCGGCGTTATCCTCATTCGATATTCCTCTTTTTTTTATGCTCTTCTTGTCCTGTTAATGTCCTGTTGAAATTGTAATTGCAGCGCGGTAAAGAAAAAGTTAATTAGATGTTACTAAGGCTGCCGCGACGCGCCCCCAAATAAAAAAGGAAAAGGGGACGGGTTCTTGAATAGGGGTTGACATTATGCCTTTGGAGGGGAGTGGGAGGGTCCTTGGCGGTTAGATTTTGATTGAAACATAAAAATCAGTAGAACTGCTCGCGCGCCCCACCGCTCCATCGAACATTTGGGATGCAGAAATGAATCATGAGTTGAAAACAAAACTGAAAAGCAACAAGAAACGGAAATTGGGCGAGATATGCGAATGCAAAACAATAAGCCAAAGTAAAAGATGTTAAAGAAGCTGAAGCAGATGATGATGATGATGATGGCGTTGTTGTCGTTGTTGATTGGAAAGGGACAAGAACAAGAAGAGGGGGACAAACTGGCAGCCAAAATGGCAACTCAAATTGCACTTAAGCGTCGAGTCAAGCGTCAAGGCAGGAAGCCGCTTGGCAAAACTTGAGAGGAACTCGCCCAAAGGAGCACGAATGTTGGGCTAGACAGCTAGAATGAGAGAGAGAGACAGAGACAGGAACAGTGTGAGAGAGAGAGAGAGAGAGAAGGAACGAGAGCTGCAGTTGCTGAGCTGCGTCCAATCAAAAAGCCATTAAAAAGTATTACGCTTGAACAAAACTGTACAAAGCAGCAGATAAAAGCATTTAGAAGCACAACAGAGCAAGGAGAGCGACACAGCGTGCAAGTCAGAGTCAGAGACAAAGACAGAGAGATTGAGTTTGCAGCAGCCGTCTACATCCTCTATGCATATGTATGAGGCGACAGGACTATTCATGTGCGAGTTGCATGTGCGAGTAATTAAAACTATTTGCAGCAAAGAAACTCATTCTGTGCTCAAGTCTTGAATAGATACCCAGTTTACACAGCTCCAAGCCAAAGTATATCTCGAAAACCTTTATTTGCTTTGATTCAATAGAATCATATATGAGTCTCTTACAAACTCTACCCAAAATATTTTGATTAATTGGGCATAGAAAATATGAATAGGAAGTGTAAAATGGATACGTCCCTTGGTCTGTTTGTATTAATTTTAGCATAATTATTTCAATCTTGAGACTCAGTTAAAAATACTCTCTTAAATAATAAACCCTTTTGCTTTCACGATTTATTTGACCATTTTCTGAACATATTAGCAAACTCTAAGCTATTGAAAATCTATCTTAAGAAGTCAAAGAATTTGTCTTTCCTTGTCATAACCACATTATTTTATCAACAAATCTCAGCAGACTGAAATTCGAATACGCTAGTCAAATGTATTTTCATAACCTCGTTCTTTCAGTTATTTTTACTATAAAACATTGTAATACTCGTTCAAGAAGTGAAGAGAGTATATAGGTATTCAGACTTGAAATTTACACCATATACTCTTTGGAAACCGCATTGTGTAAAGCGCTAAGATTTTCCTGTTCTGACCACTGTGTTGGGCGTGGCAAGAATTTATATCTGATATAACAGAAAAGTTATCAGCTAAGGTGCAAACGATTTAAAATTTGGAACATATACTCGCATTCATCAATACAAGACTAAATTTATATAGTATATAAATCTACGCCCATTGGCGGCTTGGCAAATCGTGTAAGACATCTACGAAATAAAAATGTAGTGACTCAGTTAATGTTGACTTTATCTTCTAAGGCTTTGAAGCTTTAACTCCCTCTTGAGATTTACCAGGAATGATTTTAGCTGTTTTTGAAGCGTGAAGGAGTATTATGCAGACTGCCGCATTTTTACTGCCTCTCATTGTTTGTGGACTTTTGTTGTTTTATTTTCACATATTTTATCTATGCCGAAGACGATATGGACATATTAAATTTAATTTGAAATCTTAAAAAAATTGAATGATAACTGAGCGAAAACCCGCTCCCTTGTAGAAGGAAAACCAAAGTTAATATGGTGTAAGCTTTACTTCTCTCGTTTCTCAATCATATCATATATGTAAATAAAATCACTCTCGAATCGAAATATCTGAGAAGTGCCATTAGAAAGAACATAATTGTTCGCAAATAAGATATTTATACATATTGGGAAAATCAGCGGAAAATCTGTGGCATCATTGTCGTAAGGCTGTTTTGCAGCCGTCAGGACAGGCCCTTACCCTTATCAGCTCTGTTCACGCTGTACCCCATGATTAACTACTTACTGTCCAGAGTGGACAATAAGTGGAAAACCGCAGGCCGCAAAAACCGAGAAGCCGAAAACTGAGCCTAAGCCAAAAACCCAAAAGTCCCAATTCGGGGAGGGAAAAAAAACAATCACAACAATTTGCCACGCCTACACAAGTAGAGGAAGAAGAAGCAGAGAAACCGCAAAGGCACGCGCGCTTCAGAAATTTCCGTGCGCAGTTGACGCTGAGCCAACGGCGGGCGCATTAGCCGAGCAACACCCCCAACGGCAACCCCAACCCCCAAAAGCCATAGACTTAACAATGGAAAACGCGCTGGCCGAGGCGCAAGGGAAGAATGGATTTTAAGCTGGGGAGGAAGCTTCATAAAAAGCCATTTTGTGCGGTTTGTTCGAATGGATGGGGATGGGGCAGTGGGCAGGGGGCAGGGGGGCAGGGGCTGGAGTTCAGTTTTCACCCTGCCATTGACACTGCTCGAATGACATTTATTTTATTCGCAACTTCCGGCTTGCAGACGTCTGCAAACATCCGGGCTCGTCATACTTTTTGTGTGCCTAATGTCTGGCACTTGACTGCCGGCGCGTATTCGGCAATTAAGCAGCCCCAAAGACAAGGGCTTGACTTTGAGACTCCCGTACGGCCAGGGGACTTGCTCACAAAGAAGCCAACCAGTTCCCAAACAAATGAACGGAACGGAACGAAACGGAACGGAAGAGCAAACGCGCGAGCGGGCGCTCGGAACGGCTGCTGCTCCGAGTTAATTGCCAGGGCAGAGCCACGTCTTTGTCTCTCTTGATGCTCTTCATCCGTACGCCCTTTCGCTTCTTCTCTCTCCCTCTCACGCTCCATCGCTCTCTCTTGTTGGGCTGTATGTTTGTTGCCTTGTTGAATTGTGCGGTTAACGATCCCAATTTGATGAGTCCTTTTGATTGTTCAAGTAAGTGGATGTGAACCGGTTCGATAGTGGTTCAAAGTTGCTAATTATGCAGACTGGCATAAGCCCAAGTCCTATAAATATTGAATCATATGAGCTGTCGAAGTCGAGGAGCTAAATATGAATTGTTGGGTATTAAAATAGACCTATGAACGTTTTATTTTAGTTCGGCGTCTTCATAGTCTCACATATAATATAATTTATTTCCTTCTATCAATTGATAAATCTTTCAAACTAGTTCAAAGTTTAGCTCACAATTTCAGAAAGTATTGCTTATGTGTTCCTCAAAGGATATTTAAGCTAGGATGCCTTTATGTTTCTGTTCTGGCCTTGAGCTTAAGATATACATTTGAGCTCACATTTGTCAAACTATTTATTGATATAAAGTGATCTTAAGTATATGTTCGGTTAAGTCAAGGTATGGGAATTTGTTTATTTCGTTCTCGTGCTGGAAATTTGTAAATTGGATCTGTGGCTGGGTAATTGTTTCGTTTGGTTTAGGTATTCGAATTGGATGTGATTAGATCTGTCAGTGAAGGTGACCCTTCCTGCTGCTGCTGCTGCTGCTGTTTCTGTACCCATTCGTGGCTCGGAGATGTCAAGCAACGCAGACAACAACAGCTGTCTCGTTTTTTATTCAGTTCGTGCTTTTGTTTTTGTTCATTTCGAACGCATTTTTCATTTCACAATTTCACATCGCATTTACATATCTCAGTCTATCGCGCGCTGCGCTCTCTGTGCGATGCTTATCACACTCGAGGACAATTGCGGCTTCTGCGAGCCATGCACGTTGTGGTAATTTGATATCATTGTTGTATAATTTGGCATTGCCTGGCATAAGTGCTGCGTAATTAGCAAGGACATGCCCACAACAGAGCCAACCGCACAATGGGACGCAGACATCGGGTGTATGCGGTGGGATTTGGCAGCGAGAAATCCTTTGCTGACATTGCTCATTTGTCATTTTAACAAATTTATTTTGTAATGAATGCCACACACACTCACTCACACACACATACATAGATACGTACGGCAGGCACTTAAGCCAACACATCAATTAATTCTGAAAGCATTAACATGCTCCGACTCCAGCCAACAACTCGAACTGAGACACAATGTTTCGTTGCAGCCTTCGTCTCCTGGATGAAGTTCTATTCGACATTTCCCAAGGAGCTGAAGCCCATCTTCAACGTACGCATCGCACACATGGGCCACTTTGCCAAGAGCTTCGCTCTCAAGGAGGCGCCTAGTAAATTTGCCAGCCAGCATGCAGCCCCCAAGGTGGCCCCGCCCACCAATCGGCTGACCTACACGGAACGGTATTTGTCACATTCAATTGCATCAGCTAATTAGCAAAATTTGTATTGAGACTTTTCCATTTTCATACACAGCGATCCTGAGAAGCTGCAGCAGGCGAAGCGGGCCAAGCGGCGGCTCTACACGACAACGGTCAACGGGGAGGTGAGGCAGATGCAGCAACAGCAGCAACTTGGCGCAGCAGACCGCAAGAAATTGGGTGGCCCGCAGCGCCATCTGCCGGAGGGCAATGGCAGAAGCAGCTTTATGAAGAGCCTCAATAAGTCGCGCGCCCTCACCATATCTGAATTCGACAGCGGCTTGCCCGAAATCGGAGCGCCCAAGCGGCGCAAGCAGGCGTAGGCGCCTCCAGATGCCATGGACTAGCAGAGGACGAAAGATGGAACTGCATTTGAAGCGGGAGTGTCGACCGGACGGCCCCCATTTATGCGCGCCATTTTGTTCGAGAGCGCTATTCAAGCGTTTAATCGAAAAATAAATTGCCCTGCAGTTGAGGCTGGAACTGGCGGGGCGGAGGAGCAGTACGGTCTAAGATAAAAAATGCTCGCCAAGCTAAGACACCCAACTCATAAAAGTTTCATTTTTCACAACTTTTAAGCCCGGACGTCCTCCGGGAAAAGTTGCTGCTCCGGCTCCAGCGGCCGCTGTTAGCATATTTAAGGCTCATCTTTACAGTTAGTGTTCGCTTGATATACATATATAGCATTTATATATATATATAGCTTTTTTTTACTTTATGTAATATGTTTTTAAGGCAAATATTAGAAATCCATTTTCCGCTCACTGCAGACTCATTCAGTTTTAAAAATGTCAATCTCTGTAGCGGGCAGGCGCAGCGACAGGGGCGTCACTGTGGGCAGGGGAGGGGGCTGGCACGTGTTGGCCGCCTTTTTGTGCAACTGAAGCGCGTAATTTGTTGGACAAGCTATAAATAAATATGAAACATAAACGCGTAAAAAAATCAAACGATTTGCTATCGCTTTACTTATTTTGGTTTTGCTGTCGCTTTTCCCCGCTGAAAGCGTGCGGCGATATTTGCGCAGGACACGTGCCAGGCCGCAAGCACGGCGTAGCCATTAATAGCGAGCCGAATGCGGCCCAATTAAAAGGGGCCAGCGATTGATTTTTAATTAGTCGCCTTATTGACGGTTTGTCTAACTGACAGCCAGCTCGAAAGTTAAATTGGTCGACCAATCAAGCGTTCCCTCGCCCTAGCCCTGGGCAACCCCTATTCCCGCCCTCCGCCTTGCCCATTGTGCGCCCACCAAGCGTCCACGGATTGCGTCGACTCCTAATTACGTGCGAGTGTCGGCATATGAAATAATATTTTGATACAGGTGTCCCGAGCACGCAGCCGAAAGTTAACTTTGCCTCTGATAGAGTAGAGTGCATTGGGCATAAGCGCTAGATCAAGCTGTCTAGTCCCAACTAGAATATATATTTATTTCTTGCCGAGAGAAACCCTTACTGCATAATCAGGTCTCCTTATATATCCAGCTCATCGATATGGCATCGAGTACAGTTAACTATATATAATTAATAGATTTTAAAGTTTGATTGTTTTGTGTTTATATTGACGACCGTCGAAATGCAGGGTATTTGTGATTCGTAGTTTGGTGGTATGATTCGTGCCTGTTGTTGGTTGGCCAGTGCCACTTGCAAAGGGTTGTTGAGTGTTTCTAATGCGATTGCACTAATGGCTTGAATTATAGACGCATTAGGGTAAATTAAAATCCTCCTCGTTCAATGGCCATGCCGGGGGTTGTCCATATGCCGGTTGCCAATAAAAAGCCAACTCACTTAGTGCCAGCGGCTTGACCCCCCAGTTCAGCAACGACCACGGACCGACGCTCGAGGGCTGGCAATTGAGGGTTGGGGATTATGGGGTGGATTTAACGCTTTAAGTGGGGGCGGACGTGGCAGAGAGGAGGCGTGGGCAAGGGGGAGAGCACGATGTTGGCTTGTAATGAAGTTGTAGCGGCTGCATCAACAATGCCATTGCCGGACTGTTCCATTGTGGTCAGGTGCAAATGCTGCAGGTTTTCATTCAAATTGAATAGAGAACACGACACAGGGACACACAAAAAATATATAAAAAAAGAGAGGTGAAACCCCAACAGCTGTCAACATTTCTCCACAGGTGGGGGGAGGTCGGGAGCCCTCACTTTGATTATGACAATGCCCCGACCCCAGCTCGTTGACAATTGAGTGGCACAAAGGAAGGCAACTAACTGACGAAGGCCGCATAGCACTTGTCACCTTATTCCGTTACATAAAGAAGCACAGCTCATTTTTATTGTTATATAATCTAATTACAAATGAGCACAGTCGCTGCTAAGTAAGCTCCGCCCTGAAACATTAAATTTTCTACAAATAGGAAATAGAAATTGAATATCGATACTTCAAGAGATATTTTATAAAGCAGCTATATAAATATATATATATATATATATATATTTATATATATACATATACATATACATATATATATATATTTATATATCATTTTATATATATAATATATAAATATATATATATGTATATATGGATTTATAGATATAACGATTCATTCGAATCTCTTTTGATATGCAGATGTGTTCATAAAAATAGTAGTGCGATGCAATTTAGTGATAAGTAAAATCTTATATATATTCTTATATATTATTCTGAGTAATTTCATTCTAAGCAAAAAGCATGCATCCTTTTTATTTTCCATCAGTAAAGATCCCTCCCTTGTCTTATATTTTGTGTAGTGCAGCACTACTATTTTTATGAACACAACTGTTTGTATCTACTGTTGGCCAACAAGAAGACCCAGTGAGTTGACATAAAGTATCTAAAATTCATATAGACTGAGTCCTGTTTGGTACACATTCATATATAATATTTCTTATCAAGTATAATCAGCTATAGTTGGCACTACAGCAGATCGTTCTACATGGCTTACTCTCCGCTGTTTCTGAAGTCAAGTCTCCAATGTATTGAAGGACTGCTGAATTCTTTATGCGGGCACCCTTTGTATTAGTAATTGCCAAGTATATACACAGTCACTGTCAAAAGTATTCAAGCAAGTTACGTAAGTTCCTTGAAGAATACCAAGCTAAATGTGATTAGAATTTCAAATCGGATTTCAGTTGAGCACTTTAACCGTTGCCTAGATCTATCTACACCTATTTCTGTAATAGTTTATCATTTTGTCATGTCAATTATTAGCAGATTGCATTTGTTCATTCACAATAAAGCTTGCTTAGCGCCTTAACGCTTTGGAATTACAAATTACAACTCAAATGGCACTGTCACTGGCAAATGCAAAGGCAAAGGCAAAGGCAAAGGCAGAGGCAAATGCAAACCGAAGCCAAAATCCAAACTCGAACCCAATCCCAAGTCCAGCTCCAGTCAATTCCGCAAAAGGTGCGCGTCTGCCATTCCATTTTATATACACATTTTTTTTCTCAGCCATTTCCAATTTCCAATTATAACGCAACGCGATTGCGTGCACAAAATGACATGCTTTTATGAATTCGCGATGATCTCGAGACGGGCAACGAGCAACGGGCAACGGACTACGGCGCTGATAGGCGTTCGACTGGGTAAATATATATGTGCTATGTATATTGAGAGACGCACATACATGAGGAGCACATGCACAGGGATACCCTTTAAAGGAAATATGATTTCATTTGACGGCGCCTTGCGCTCGTTGGGGCCAGCACCCACATAGCCAAAGAGGCCGGAAATCAGGATGAACACAAATTATATATATAGACATATATATGATACGAAGCTACTCCTCCTTGTGTTTCGCTTTCTTTTATGGCATTTCTATCCAATTATGTTCATTAAATTGGCATTTGAAATTAGCCAAGGCAAAGGATAGGCCGGAGTTCGAGCTGGAGCTGGAGTTGGAGTTGGGTAAGAGAGTTGAGAGTTGATAATGGTGGTGGGGCTGGCTGATAAACTACTTAATACTTATTTAATTTGTGCCTCTGATCCGAATGTAGTCGAGCAGAATGCGCCGCACAACTGTCATAAAAATCACGCAGCGGAAATTATTTTGTCACCATTTATAATTGCATTGTCACACCAAAAACACTATTGATTCATGTTGTTGTTGGCGGTGGCGGTGGTGATGGTGGTGTTGCTGCTGCTGCTGCTGCTGTTATTATTATTATGATTGGAGGGTGTTGAAAGTAACACCCCACACATTAAATCAAGTGGCTGTAGCCGTGGCAGTGCGTCGACAACGTCATACATAAATTATTGAAAAATCATTCTGCAAATAAACTCAACGAGCAGACAGACAGACAGAAAGAACAAACGGGACGACAGAGGCCCAGCTCGAACCCATAGCCAAAGCCATAGCCATAGCTAAAGCTCAGACTGCGAATGAAGTAAATAAAACCCACCACCAGGACGTGCCAGACACGAACACGGACATGGGCATGGATTGCCTAGCTGTCTGACTGTGTTGATAGCTTTGACAAGAGCGCAAATAAAGCAGTAAATAACTGAACTTGTTACAACACGAAATAAAAAAAAAAAACAAACACAAAAACGAGTGTGGCCAGGTTCAGTGCATTGCGTATACGCCGCATGGCCAGCGAGCAGTTTAAATATTGGCAACGAGGCAGCACGGACTGAGACTGAATGGTTATGGGGTTTCAGGGTGGCCAACAGCATCCAATCCAATTAATTGTATTTCGCCTAAAACTTTAAGCAGAGGCGTCGAAGCACAGGCAACACTTCGGCCCGCTCCACCCACTCCTGCAGCCACAAATGCCTAATGGAAGGCGTCGCCTGTGCCGTCTGTGCCGTCAGTTCCGTTTCCGATTGAGCGAATGCCCGTCTATTTATTTGCAAATGCAACTTGTCCAATTTGACAGTTGTCGCTTGTGAATGTCAGACTTGGCTTGGAGCTGAATGGGAGGGGGTAGGAGCGGGGGTGGGTCCCACAGGGCAGGAGTAACTGAGTAAGCGACAGCGACGTTGGCGCCCACTGAAGCGTAAAGTGTGAAAGCCTGTAACGAGGCATATTGCAATTAGATTTTGTGTAAATTTATTTATGTTAATTAGTTTCAATTTGATTTAATTTGCGCTCAAGCAGCTCAGCCAGCCAGCAGCCAACAGGCAGCAGATCTGTCGGGTGTGTGGGGGCATCGGGAGGTAAGTGGAGACGCAGCGAACTGACAATTAAAAGCACGTTAAAAACGCATTTAGCAAACAGCCAAGCTGGCAAACGGGCAGCGGGTCAACTTGGCTGGGATCCGTTTAAGCCGAAAACGCCTAATGACAGCTGCATCAATCCTGTGCGCTAACAAAGCGTTGAAGAAATCACTTTACCAGCGGCGGCGACGGCGACGGCTACGACGACGATGACGGCGGCAGCCATAAAACGAGCTGCGACCGAGAGAAAGAGATGAGAGCGAGAGCGCGGAGGGGAGAGGAGAGGAGAGGAGAGAGCGAGAGCGATGAGAGTTGAGAAATGACAGGCCAAAGGAGACGCCGCCAAAATCAACCGAAATGACAACGAGACATGCAAACAAATGAAATGATGATTCCGTCTCCGACTCCGACTCCAACTTCAACTGCGAGTCCAACTTCCACTTCGACGAAAAGTCTAATTTGTTGATAATTTGCGACCGCCGCCGCTGACCGCCAACGATGCCCCACGGCCAGCAGCAGCAGCAGCAGCAGCAGCGGGACCGATGGATGGATGTGGGAAATGGATGCAGTGCCAGATCCAAGCTGGACAAGAGATACTTCCGCTACTTCATAAATGGAAATGGATATATGCGAACTGGGCGCTGGCCTGCGCTGGAGCTTGAAGCTGTTGGAGCCGCACTTGGAGCTGGTGCCGCTTGGATTTATGATGCGCTGCGCCAACTGCCAATTTAAAGGCAATTTAGCCAAGAGGCGCGATTTCAACTAAATTGCAAACAATCTGTGGGTCGCAACCTGTTGGGCTGCACCGCCACCCGCTGCAGGAC